AAAAAAAAAAAAAGAAGTTTCGTTTTAGCTCTTATGTTTAAGTTTATGGTATAACTAAAGTTACCATTTTGCAAATGGTATGATGTGTAGGTTCATTCTTTGAATATGAATATATAATTGTTCCTCTCCCATTTATTGAAACGGCTGTCCTTCCCCTAATTAACTTGACATCTTTGTCAACAATCAGCTGACTAAACATGTGTGGGTTTATTTCTAGATTCTGTTCTGTTCCATTAACATGGTATCTTGATTATTGTAGCTTTATAGTAAGTACTGAAGTAATACATTTCTCTAACTTTACCCTTCTTTTTCAAAATTGTTTTCATTATTTTAAGCCCTTTGCATTTCATATAAATTTTAGAGCCATCTTATCAATTTATGCAAAAGGGTCTATGAGATTTTGATTTGGAATCACATTTAATTACAAATCAAATTAGAATAATTTACACCTTAGTATTCAATTTTCTGATCCATGAATATGGTACATCTCTCCATATATTTAGGTATTCTTTAATTTTTCTAGTCATGTATCCACAAAGGTGTGAGAGAAAGAGAATACTCAACAGGCCCAATCGTGGTAGAATCCTTTCTCCTCCAATTCTCTATCCCATTGTGATTCTTGGATACACACATGAGCCAAGTATTTTCAAAGTCAATAGGGCTAGGGCTCAAACTGCAGTCAGCTATGGGGGATCTGGCTTCCTCTGGGCAGCATCTAACCACTAACCTAGGAGGTCAGCCCTCTTTCACTCTTAATAGTGGAAAAGAGGGCTGACAGCCATAACTTAGCTGTTAAGCACTTTGTATAGGGAGCCAGATCCTACACAGCTGACTATGGTTTGAATCTCAGCCCTGGTGGCTTGATAAACATGCCAGACACTGTGTATGCCTGCCCCAAATCCTGACAGGATAGAGAAAGGAAAAGGGACTGTAGTGGGACCACACCCCATTAGGATGTGCTTTCTCTCTCTGGTAAGCACACATGCTCTCTGGTGAAGAAAAAATATTGGGGACCAGCAGTTAATGTAATGGCTATGTCGCTGGACTCCCATGTAGTCAACCACGGTTCGAGTCCCGGACCCGGTAACTTAAACTCACGCCGGGCGCATGTGCATGTATGCCCAAGATCCTGAGAGGAGAATAGAGGAGAAGGAATTGCGGCATGGCCATCCCCCCTGGGGGATGATTTCTCGCTTTCTGTCTCTCTGCCTCTCTTTGTCTTTCTGGTGAGTGCACACACCCTATAGCAAAAACCTCTCCAAAAAAAAAAAAAAAAATTGGTACATTGCATGTTCTCATTTTTTTCTAGATTCTTTAGGCAGAAGCATAGTTGTTTGAAATTTTTTTTTCTTTTTTAAAATAATTTTTCATTTAACTTTATGTATTTATTCATTTGTTTTATTTTAAAATTTGACCAGAGAGGGACAGAGAGAAAAAGCAAGCTGCCAGGACCAGGACTCAAAACACAGTCAATCATGTGGGAGTCTAGTGCCCCCAACTACTTTGCCACCTGCAGGCCCCGAGATATTTTTTCTTTTCTAATATAAATATTTAGTGCTATAATTCCCCTCTAAGCACTGCTTTAGCTGCACACTATAAATGTTGATATATTTGTTGTGTTTTTATGTTCACTTATTTCAAACATTTAAAAATTTCTCTTGTGGTGTCTTTTTTAACTTATGGGCTATTTAGAGGGGTATTATTTAATTTCCAAGTATCTGAAAATTTCCAGATATCTTTGCTACTATTTTTTTTTTTAATTAAAAAAATTTTGGGTGTTACCAGCAATTAGCGTAATGGCTATGTTGCTGGACTCCCATGTAGTCGACCGTGGTTTGAGTCCCGGACCCAGTGGCTTAAAACCCACGCTGGGCACGTGCATGGGTGTGCATGCGCAAGATCCCAAGAGGAGAATGGAGAAGGGATTGAGGTGTGGCCATCCCCCTCCCCCCCGGGGGTGATTTCTCACTTTCTGTCTCTCTGTCTCTCTGTCTCTGTCTGTCTGTCTGGCGAGCGTACGCGCCCTATAGCCAAAACAGAAAAACAAAACCAAAAGAAATATTTTTTTTTTTTACAAAATCTTTATTTTTATTTATTTATTTTAGTTCAACCAGAGAGGGACAGAGTGAGAGAGAAGGAAAGTGAGAAATCAAGCCACCGTCTGGGACTTGAAATGTGGTCGGCCATGTTGGAGTCCAGCACTCCTGCCGGCCCCCTTTGTTACTATTTTCTAATTTAATTTGTTCATGGTTAAGAGAACATACTCTATATGATTTCAATCACCTCACATTTATTGAGATTTACTTTACTTTATGATCCAGGATATGGATTGGATTGAAAATTTGAAAAAAAAAAAATAGAAAGAAAAAGGGACCAGCAGTTGATGTAATGGTTATGTCGCTGGACGCCCATGTAGTCAACTGTGGTTCAAGTGTTAATGTAATGGCTATGTCGCTGGACTCCCATGTAGTCAACCACGGTTCGAGTCCCGGACCCGGTAACTTAAACTCACGCCGGGCGCATGTGCATGTATGCCCAAGATCCTGAGAGGAGAATAGAGGAGAAGGAATTGCGGCATGGCTATCCCCCCTGGGGGATGATTTCTCGCTTTCTGTCTCTCTGCCTCTCTTTGTCTTTCTGGTGAGTGCACACACCCTATAGCAAAAACCTCTCCACAAAAAAAAAAAAAAAATTGGTACATTGCATGTTCTCATTTTTTTCTAGATTCTTTAGGCAGAAGCATAGTTGTTTGAAATTTTTTTTTCTTTTTTAAAATAATTTTTCATTTAACTTTATGTATTTATTCATTTGTTTTATTTTAAAATTTGACCAGAGAGGGACAGAGAGAAAAAGCAAGCTGCCAGGACCAGGACTCAAAACACAGTCAATCATGTGGGAGTCTAGTGCCCCCAACTACTTTGCCACCTGCAGGCCCCGAGATATTTTTTCTTTTCTAATATAAATATTTAGTGCTATAATTCCCCTCTAAGCACTGCTTTAGCTGCACACTATAAATGTTGATATATTTGTTGTGTTTTTATGTTCACTTATTTCAAACATTTAAAAATTTCTCTTGTGGTGTCTTTTTTAACTTATGGGCTATTTAGAGGGGTATTATTTAATTTCCAAGTATCTGAAAATTTCCAGATATCTTTGCTACTATTTTTTTTTTTAATTAAAAAAATTTTGGGTGTTACCAGCAATTAGCGTAATGGCTATGTTGCTGGACTCCCATGTAGTCGACCGTGGTTTGAGTCCCGGACCCAGTGGCTTAAAACCCACGCTGGGCACGTGCATGGGTGTGCATGCGCAAGATCCCAAGAGGAGAATGGAGAAGGGATTGAGGTGTGGCCATCCCCCTCCCCCCCGGGGGTGATTTCTCACTTTCTGTCTCTCTGTCTCTCTGTCTCTGTCTGTCTGTCTGGCGAGCGTACGCGCCCTATAGCCAAAACAGAAAAACAAAACCAAAAGAAATATTTTTTTTTTTTACAAAATCTTTATTTTTATTTATTTATTTTAGTTCAACCAGAGAGGGACAGAGTGAGAGAGAAGGAAAGTGAGAAATCAAGCCACCGTCTGGGACTTGAAATGTGGTCGGCCATGTTGGAGTCCAGCACTCTTAAATACTACTCCACCTGCCGGCCCCCTTTGTTACTATTTTCTAATTTAATTTGTTCATGGTTAAGAGAACATACTCTATATGATTTCAATCACCTCACATTTATTGAGATTTACTTTACTTTATGATCCAGGATATGGATTGGATTGAAAATTTGAAAAAAAAAAAATAGAAAGAAAAAGGGACCAGCAGTTGATGTAATGGTTATGTCGCTGGACGCCCATGTAGTCAACTGTGGTTCAAGTGCCAGACCCGGTGGCTTAAACTCAGGCCGGGCATGTGTGCCTCCATGCCCAAGATCCCAAGACAATGGTGAAGGGATTGTGGCATGGCTATTCCCCCTGGAGGGTGATTTCTCACTTTCTCTTTGTTTCTCTCTGTCTTTCTGGCGAGCACACGTGCCCTATACCAAAAACACCTCAATAGTAAAACTTTTAAAAAAAGAAAATTTGCATAGAAAAACACAGAAAAATACATAATGAGTTTTGTAACAACCAAATAGTTTATTTTGGTAAATTTTTCATGTACACTCAAAAAGAATGTATATTGTGGTGTTGTGAGATGATGGAGTGTTCTATAAATGTCAATTAGGTCAGTTGACTAATGGTGCTGTCTTCTATATATATCCTGATTTTCTGTCTTCAATTTTCTGTCATTAATTATTGGGAGAAGGTGCTGAAATCTCTAATTATACTTGTGGATGTTTCTATTTTTCCTTTCAGCACTACCAGTTTTGTTTCATATGCTTTGTGTGTGTATTTATTTATATATTTTAGATTTTTGCCATAGTGTGTGTGTGCTTACCAGAGAGGGAAAGTGAAAAATCATCCTTTGGGGGAATGGTCACACAACAGTCCCACCTCCTCCATTCTCCTTTCAGAATTTTGGGTATGTGTGCACATGTGTTTCAAGCGGCTACATTTGGGACTTGAACCATGCAGTTGGTCATGTGGGATCCAGCACCTTAACCACTACGTCACCTGCTGGCCCTATTTATTTTTAATTGCTGGAGGGTACATGAACTTGCTAGAGAGAGAGACAGAGAAACTGAGGTTGGGAGGAGAAACTACCTCTCAGTGGGGCATGATCATGCTGCAATCCCTTCTGTGTGTCTCTATCCTGTTGGAACTTTGGCTTATACAACGTATTCAGTGTGTTTTCAAGTCTCTAGGGCCAGGATTCAAATTGCACTTGGCCATGTGGGATCTGGCTCTCTATACACAGGGCTTAACTACTGTACTACAGGGCTGGCCCCTCCAGCTTTCTTCCAAATAGTATTAGTCATGGTACATAATTTTTCACCCTTTTGCTTCTTTTTACCTCCCAATCAGTAAGTTCATCCTTTCCATCACTTTCTCCTGCTAGGTTATTATAGCCAAGTAAATGTGAGGCTAGGACAGCCCAGGTAGGTCCATACTTAAACACCTCTCCCATGGAGAAGGATGCCTGGCCCTTCTACTCTTGGCTCAGTTGAGAGGAGGTGGGGGAGACTGAGCCCACCTCCCAGGATACCAAGCCAGTCCATGGTCTATACTTTTTTTTTTTTAATTTGCCAAGAGTATACATGTGCCTGCCAGAGGGAGAGGGGAGAGAGAAAGTGAAAAAACACTTAATATGGGAGAACGTCATACCACAATTCCTTGCCCATTTTTGTCTCCTTTCAGGATTTTGGGTTTGGACACATATGTGCCCAGTGTGTTTTTCAACCTGCAGGGTCCAGGATTCAAACTTCATGGTTGGCCATGTAAAATCCAACAGCCTTGGGGCCAGTAAGTGGCATGGTGGATAAAGGCGCTGGACTCCCACATGGCCGACCACGGTTCAAGTCTCGGACCTGGTGGTTTGCTTTGTCACTTCCTCTCTCTCTGTCTCTCTCTGATCAAACTGGAAAATAATAATGATAATAATAATAAATAAAGTTAAATAAAATAATTGTTTAAAAAAAATCCAACAGCCTTAACTACACCACTAGCTGGCTCCACCAGTCTACATTTTTACTTTTAATCTACAAGGGGGTCTTTAAAAAGTCTGTGGAAAGTGTGTGTTATGAAAAAAGTATGCATGGCCACCAGTAGGTGGTGTGGTGGTTAAGGTGCTGGACACTCCCACACAACTGACCATGGTTTGAGTCCTGGACCTGATGGCTTGCTTTCTCATTTTCTCTCTCACCGGTAAAATTTAAAATAAATGAGGGACCAGCAGTTAGCATAATGGCTACGTTGCTGAACTCCCATATAGTTGATCATGGTTCAGGTCCTAGACTCGGTGGCTTAAACTTACGCTGGGCGCGTGTGCCTGCATGCCCAAGATCCTGAGAGGAGAATGGAGAACAGATTGCGGCATGGCCATTCCCCCACGGGGTGATTTCTCACTTTCTGTCTCTCTGGTGTGCGCATGCACCCTGTGGCAAAAACTTCTCTCCCCCCCCAAAATTAAAATAAATGAATGAATAAAAATAAAATAATTCTTAAAATATTTTTTAAAGTACGCATGAGCTTCAATTTTTTCCACCAAAATAAACTTTTTCTTAAAATCCATTTTTCAATGAACTTTAAATTCTATTTTATTGAATTTTTTTGAATTTTATTCTTTTTAAAAATAATTATTTTACTTAACTTTACTTACTTATTTATTTATAAATAATTTTTTTTTTGGAGAGATTTTCACTGTAGGGCGCGTGCGCTCACCAGACAGACAGAGAGAGACATAGAGACAGAAAGCGAGAAATCACCCCCCAGGGGGGATGGTCATGCCACAATCCCTTCTCCTCCATTCTCCTCTTGGGATCTTGGGCACGCACACACACGCGCCCGGCGTGAGTTTTAAGCCACCGGATCCGGGACACGAACCGCGGTCGACTACGTGGGAGTCCAGCGACATAGCCATTATGCTAACTGCTGGTTCCCTATTTATAAATAATTTGACTAGAGGAGGACAGAGTAGGGGGAGAGAGGTGAGAAGTCAAGTTCCCAGGTCTGGGACTCAAACTATAGTCGGCCATGTGGGAGTCCAGTGCCCTCAACCACCAAGCCACCTGCCAGCCCCTATTTCATTTATTTCTATTATGAGGAAGACAGACAAAAGAGGCAGTACCATCAACATGGTGCTAACACTGTGATTCACCTCCAGTCTCAGCCAGTCCTGAAACATGGCAACAAGTGTGCCAGGTATGACCATGTGCTTTCTCTGTTTCTGGAAAGTCATGTGCCCTCTGGCAATTAAAAAAAAAAGTTTCATTTGGATTTTTTATATAGTTTGCCTTTCTGCTCATCATGTTCATGTTTTCCTTTGTATCTTTAAGCATATTTATATGATTTATAATATCTGCTTTAAGGTCTTTTCCCACTAATTCCATCATCACTATCATTTTGGGCTTGTTTCTACTAATTATTTTTTTTTCCTAGCTTATCTGTCGTTATTCTTGGGACCAGCAGATGGTGTAATGGCTATGTTGCTGGGCTCCCATGTAGTCAACCGAGGTTCGAGTCCTGGACCTGGTGGCTTAAACTCACACCGGGTGCATGTATGTGTGTGCCCAAGATCCTGAGAGGAGAATGGAGGAGAAGGGACTGCAGCAAGGCCATTCCCCCTGGAGAGTGATTTCTTGCTTTCTGTCTTTCTGTCTCTCTCTGTCTCTCTGGGGAGTGCATGTTACCTATAGTAAAAACCTCTCCAAAAAAAATTTTGTCAAGTTATTCTCTTTGTGCATATGTTATAATTACTGATGGAATGCACAAGCTTTGGAACTTTTGAAGTTTCTGGGTATTGGATTTTGTTTTAATCTTTTAGTTTTAGTCTGGTATAGAGTTAAGTAACTTGCAGATCAATCTGACTATTTCAAAGCTTGCTTTACACGTTGTTATCATAGCTCCAGAGAAGTTTTTATTCTGAGACTAAGTTAGTCCTCTGACTATAGTGTAACTCTTTTGAACTTTACCAAGTGTCTCTTCACACTAGTTGACAGGAATACAAATAGTGAGTTCTGCAAATTATTCATTCAATTGCTTTTTGACAGTTCAGGCAAAAAACTGAGGAACTCTCTCTGCAGATATCTAATGTTCTCTCTATGCAGCTCCTACATCTGTACCCTGCCTCACTCCTCTTTCTGTCTCAACTCAACAAGGTTGCCAAGCTCTGTTTTTAATTCCCTTTCCCTGTGCTACAGCAGATGGTGTAGTGGTTACATCGCTGTACTCCCACATGGTTGATGGTGGTGCAAGTCCCAGACCCAGCAGCTTGAAATTCATGCTGGGCACGTGTGCATATGTGCCCAAAATCCCAGAGGAGAATGGAAGTGGAGGGACTGTGGCATGGTCATCCCCTCTGCAGGGTGGATTTCTCGCTGTTTGTCTCTCTCTCTCTCTCTGGTGAGTGCACATGCCCTATTGCAAAGATCTCTTTAAAAAAAAAAGAAAAAAGATGAATAAGGCTACACAGTTCAAGAGGGGACATAATTCATTCCTGTTTCAATTTCCAAGTCCTGCAACTCCATTGACACACCCACAGATAACCTTTAGAACTATATAGGACAGTATTTGCTCACCACTGCGTGGACGGCTTTTCCTGAGCCGGTAACAGTCAAGGCAGACCCCAAATCCACACTTGCGACAAACCCAGTGGATGTTGAAGAGAGTTGTTTCACAAACATCACACATCTCCCGTACACCACGTACAGCTCGCTTCCATGCCACTTTCTCTGGTGGAAGGAGGAAGAGGAAGACTATTGGCATTGACCATTTTAACCAATAGCAAAAGATCCCAGATAGCTATTCAAACCATTTTGTCCAGCAATTAAAAACCAAGGACTCATCAAATTTGTGTTTCTATAATTTTAAGATAAATAAAAAGAATTTCTAGTATTGTTTTTTATTAATTAATTGTTATTATTATTTTTAAAATTTGACCAGATAGAGACAGAGATAGAAAGGGAAAGGGAGAAAACAAGCCGCCAGGTCCAGGACTCAGACTATGATTGATCATGTGGAAGTCCAGCACCTTAACCACTGCACTACCTGCTGGTCCCAGAATTTCTAATGTTTCTGAACAAACTGTGCAAATTTATTTCTACTATAATGATATTTCAAGGGCTTGTGATAACACCAGGCTATAATAATCTAGTGTCAATAAGGGATCAATGCCACACGTTGTCACTTAAGATACTGTAAAATTTCAATGAGGGGGATTTTGAATAAGATGATGATTCTTTGTAGAAATTTAGGGTATAATTTCATAGCACAATCTTCCTTGGTTTGGAAATAGGTTACGGTATCTCACAGACACGGAAATATAGTAATTTCGGTTGTAGGTGTGAAACACGGCATCTAATAGCATGTGTCTACTCACTAACCACAGAGTGTCATATAATAACACACATTGGATCAAAGCAAACTAAGGATATTCAGATGAACCAAACCCAAACGGGATCCAAATGCATGTTAAAGCAGTTGTACTACAAAATGAAAGGCAAATAGGGAAGGAGTTTTTGGGTATGTTAACTGTCAAAGACTGAAAGAATGAGGTCTGTTAAATACAGTGAAGGCCTCAACTACAGGTTAATATAAAAAGTCTTCCCAGTCTTAATTCATCTACAGAAAATGCCATCTGCTACTCCTCCCATTCCTCCCTTAAGTAAAGGAAAACGAAGCTTCCAACTAAGAGTGCTGGAACACAAGAAGGAGGATGCCTTACGGTGTGGCTCCACCATCATCATGGCCTCCTTCTCAGACATTACGAGCTGGCAAAACTGGTCCCCAACATTGGCCAGGATGTATTTTGAGGTCTCTAGGTCTATCCCTTCTGCTAGGGAGGAAGAGGGAATCCACAGGTTCATGGCATCAGGGTCACTTTGCTGGGGGCTTAGGAATCCCTCCACACGAAGTACCCCCTTACGAGTGAAGATCAACCTGAGAAAGGAAGGTAGACAGTTAAATAGATATCATGGAAAAGAGCAGGAACAATGCAAACTAATACACACCTAAAATCCTATGACCTAAGACAAATCTAAAGGTACTCGATAGGAATCAGGCTAAGAATTTTCACCATATTGGACTGATACAGTATACATTCTCTGCTAATAGGAAGGTCTGTTAAAACTTAGTAAGTCTGTATACTTTAAAAAACACTTGTTCCCGGAGTTCTTCCGTCCACTGTTCTACACTGGCACCTGTGCCACCGAATGTGACCAGAGGAAAACCCATTAGCACACTTTAAATTTATGTCCACCTACCTGTGGTGAGCCCTTAATATTGCCTGACAGTCACAGGAGTTTCCGGGTGCACTCCCTCCCTAGATACCTGTTTCTTTTTTTTTCTTTATTTTTCAGAGGTTTTTGCTATAGGGTGTGTGCACTCACCAGACAAACAGAGAGACAGAGAGATAGAAAGCAAGAAATCACCCCCCAGGGGGGATGGCCATAACGCAATCCCTTCTCCTCCATTCTCTTCTCGGGATCTTGGGCACACATGCACACACGCCCGGCGTGAGTTTAAGCCACCGGGTCTGGGACGCGAACCGCAGTCG